CTCCAGACGAAAAAAAAAAACGACACAAGCCCGGGAGTGAGATGGGAGGTACAAACAAACAAAACAGGATGGCGGGCAAGAGACAACAGAAGAAAACGAGACTCAAAGACAGGACAAGGAGCACAGGGAAGAAAAACATGAAAAACTAAACCAAAAACCGACAGGAATCCTGGGGAAATCAAGAAAAAAAAATGTCCAAAGATGACCCTGAGCGCAGGGTCACAGTTCAGGCGGACGTCCAAGGAACCAACACGGGCGACACAGGACCTCAGGWGGGCGACCGTGAACCCGGCCGCAGCAGAGGTGAAGCTCTGGAGGGCGGTCTAGGATCTCAGGGGATGCCGTCGACAGAGGGGACGAGGAGACGATGGGTGACGACCCAGGTGAAGTGGAGGTGATGGGTGATGGGCCAGGCGAAGAGGAGGCACCGGCAGCCAACCCWTGAACCTCAAGGACCTCTGACTCGGGACTTGCCAACTCAGGAGACACTGGGACCGCCAAATCAGGAACTGAAACTGGAATCGTCAACTCAGGAACCTTGGACTCAGGGGACTCACAGTACTCRGACTCAGGGGACTCACAGTACTCGGAGGACTAAGGGGACTCACAGAACTCGGAGGACTCAGGGGACTCACAGTACTCGGAGGACTCAGGAAACACAGGTACCCTTGGGGACTACACAATACACCCCGGGACTTTGGGAACTGTTGATGATGATGTAGAGACTGGAAGTGGTGGCTCGAAGACTGGAGCAGAGACTGGAACATGAACGGATGACTTGAGAGCAGAGACTGAAGACTCGAACTCTGCACACTCTGAAGACTCAAACTCTGCACACTCTGAAGACTCAAACTCTGCACACTCTGGGTCTCTGAAGGCGGACCAGATGAAGACGACGATGATGATGATGATGATGATGATGGTGGCACAGAACCATGCGCAGCTGCAGCTGACGATAAGAATGCTCAAACAGATGACGATGGTACAAAACCAGATGCTGCAGCAGCTGAAGTGAGCCTCTCTGATGCAGCAGCAGGCGTAGTGGGCTCAGCTGAGGCTGCAGTTTCCTCCCCTCTAGGGGAACCATAACTGTTCATAGGAGTGTAGGTGACTCAGGAGGCGTGGTCCATCTCTGAAACACAGAACCAGACCTGATGTTGCAGCCGCTCTCCTCCGGCAGCCGCGACAAGAAGCAGCAGAGGTGGCCGACGTCATGGTCTCGTTCCCCGACGCAGAAGGCTCGGAGGAAGCATCGGACTCGGGCACAGCTGCAGTGAACACAGAAGTGCTGGAGTCTGGTGACACGGGGGAGTCTGAACCCACTGACTCGGACAAAACCTTCTGGACGAAGACGAGGAGACGCTGGTGGCCGGGCAGGAGCAGTAGATCGGGGCACCTCAACAGGGTGTTCCCAATCTGTTGACAAAGCGGGAGGCGGGAGTGGGGGACCATCCGAGAATTATCAGCGAACCGCTGATCAGAGAATTTGTCACCTTGAGCTCCTCTGGCAGCAGAGACGGGACCAGTTCCTCCACACCTGGAGTGGTTGAAACAGCGAAAACCCTGCCTGCTGGGTCCTTAACTGGTCCGATCATTCTATCAGGTTTGGCAGGCAGGTTTGGACCCAAATGCAGGCAAACAGGCAGGCAGGTTCAAAGTAAAAATCTTTTATTTAAATAAAGAGCCGACGTGGCAGCAAAACTGAAACTTACAATTAACGAGGAGAACACAGCGGGAAGCCAGGGCAGAGACCCAAACAATGATCGGACAAAGGTGGAGAGAAAATGAGCAGGATTTATACAAAGCAGAGATGAGTGGAAATGGAAGACAGATGAGCTAATTATAATTGCAGACAGGTGTGAATGGAAAGATCTGGAGAAGGATGAAACTGAGGTAAAGAAGTAATGTCATGAAGAGTACACAAGAGGGAGGCACGAGACAACAAGAATAACACACACAAAAACACAAAACCTCACAGCTACATTTTACCTGGATCATGAATTTTTGAGTGGTTCCAAAAATTCGTCTTGRTTTGGTCTAAACCTTATTTTTAGTTTTTTCTAAAGAATAATTTTTGTTGCTATTTTAAAGGGGAAACTTCAATCAATGTTTGGACCTAGATTTACCTGCTGGAAAGAAAAAAACTTTGATAGCTCATAGGAAAAATTACAATAATTTTAAGCTTTTCTGCTCAAAGTTCGTGTTTTTTTCTAATTGCTCAAAAATGGGCTTCAAATTTTTTTTAAAGATTATATGAGCAGATATGGTATTATTTCATTATAAATGCAATTGTTGCATCATTTTCACCAATGCACTACAAATGCCTATTGCCCCACAAACCACTTTGTGACTTAATTCTCGGTTCAGTGTGATGATGTCCTGTAGTGAAAGAAGACAAAAAAATGCCTACATTTATAAAGTTTGTTGGAGTAACAGGAGTTTGTAAACAGTCTGGAAGACAATTGAAGTTAGTGTCAGAAATAATTAAAAACACAACATTTAATTTGTGATTGAGTAAAAACCATTAGAGATCTCAAAATATCAGTTCAGTCATGAGAAATACAACTTTCTTTGATTGATTTAAACTTTAAATGATATTTGGTGAAGCCTACCTGAGCCATAGAGCTCCAAACTGGTTTGTTTCTCAAAATACACTTCATTGTGTTTTGGTCTAAAGCTTTCAAACACTTGTTTGTCCAACATACAAGATTTTAAGTGTGCTTGAATGTCTTAGTCCTGAACACAAAGATGTAAAAGAACCATAACATGCAAAAATAACTGCGACAAATTAGTTTTGATAGTTCTAAACACTTTTGAATTTTTCAATTTGAACTAAAWCCAGGACCCAAATATTTGAACTTGTTAACCTTTTATGGGTTTCCTTTCAATTATTATATTTTTCATTGTCTCACCTCAGCTCAGAACTTTGGCACATGTTCCTCCTCTTCCTTTATTTGAACCTTCTCTTCAGTGAAACCGGTTCTGCTGCCTGGTTTCTGTCCGGTTGGGTTGGAGGCGGAAGCCCTCAGTGGTTTTAATCATTTGTACGTTAGTTTACCACATCGTCATGAATTGAAACATCCTGACTCTGACACAAAGTGGGCCGGCTGCCAGAGTAACGACCACACAAAACAACACACAGTAGCTCAGAATTTCATACAATAAAAAGACAGTTTTGCTGGTGAGCACAATGTGAAAGATGTCTGTTAAGGATAATCTGTGCTGCTGGTTTATACAAACTCCCCTCCATTCCTGTTGGGCTTGTTTGAATCTGAAGAGTCATATGACTAAATGATTTAGGACATTGTTACCAATAAAGCAGAGAGTTGTTCCGGATACTGTTGTCCCCACGTTACGTGTTCATGTCAAACAGTTTGGCTCAGTGTCACATTTCCTTTCATGACTTTCCAGAGCAATCCGTTCAGAGTGTCTTTCTGCTTTCTGTCTTATAAACAAATCATCTCCCACCACAGAGGAACACGTGAGCAGCACAAACAGGCTGCTGTGACTTGATGCTGCGCACACAGAGAGTGTGTCGGGAATACCACCTGCAGTTTCTTTAACTGACA